AACCATAGTCCTTGCCTTATTTATATTTTTCTCAAAACGTTGAAATGTGCCTCTAGTAGGAGCTGCACGATTCAGTGCCCCCACCACACTCTCACATCATTACACTTGAGCATCCCTGAACTGAGACCTGAAAGCAAGAATCTTCTCTGTTTTCAAGTCTTCCAATCCTCAGCTTCCAGGCTCCTCAGTACACAGGAAACTTTGTCTTTTATTTATTTTTTATTTTTTTTCATTCCCAAATGAACATGAAACGTCTACTGCCCCTGGTGGTCAGTGCTGGGAAATACAACTCGATCCTTGCCTATTGAAATGCGGAATTAATTCCAACAAGGAACTGACCTTGTCTGCTGCTGCTTTTTCTCTCACACGCACGCACACCCACCTCCGCCTCCCATTTTACTCCATCCTAATCCTTCGAAGTGTTGAGCTGGGGAAAGCGAGGAACACTACTGAGGTGCAAATCAACCGGTTCTCTGGGCCTGGGACTTCAGCTGCCCTCCAGATGTGCACAGGTTCACAGTCATATTCCAGACGTGACCGCCTCAAATCTTCCTTAAGTGCTATCTTCTCAGGTTAATTAATCACCAGGCTTAAACTTGCTGTTACCAGCAGGAAGTCCATCCTGAAGTCAGCAATGTTACTATTGCATCTTCTAATACTGTTTATCCTGCATTAGTGTTTACTTAGGGGGAAAATTGATCCGTAATTGATATTTCAGTCTTCCAGAGCTGGTGTTGGAAGAGCCTAATGCAGGCCTTTAATAGCAAGCAAATATTTAAATCCCTTAATGGTTGCTGAATATTGAAATGTGTGACTTTATTACTCTTTCTGGTTTGTTTTCTCTGTAGTTGTGTATTTCATCGTTTAAACTTGCAGTAGACGCTGGCAAGCTCAAGTCTAGCTAATCCACAAAAGCTGTTTGCCCAGACACAGCAGACCTGATTAACAAGTATTGCTATGGAAGGGCATCTTCTGCACTAATCAGTCTCTGTTAGCTAGTGATGAAATTACTATCCATCTCTCTCTCTTTCTCTTTCTCTCCCTCTCTCTAGGCCTGTTTTCTCTAACCTCCTCTCCCAGAATAAAGTGATGGGGGCAGCTGTAGCGCTGCAATTAGGAACATGAATCTTTTCTCGTTTGGACAAGGAAGGGAAAATGCCATTACTGTCAACTGAAATGTCCTACTTGGGTTTTTTGCTCCTACTTCCCTGCCAAAGCCCATTGCTGCTGCTGAAAGTGTGTAACATTCACAGCTGTTCTTGATGGCTTGATTCTTAACACAGCCAGAAATGTAGCCCGGGAGATGCTTAAGACAGTTTATGGAAAATAATCGATTTCCTTGCAGAGACACCAATGCATCGAGAAGGGCCTTGAGTCACGTTAGCCCCAGCCAAGATCACCAATTTTCTCTCTATCTGGCTTCAGTTACAAAGGCTATTGCTTAAAAAAAAAAAAAAAATGCAGGCCCTCTTGAATTCTCTGTGTTTTCCCGGTTGGTTTCTATCAGCACCCACAAGTCTCTGGCTATGGCACCCTTTGTCTCACCACTCACCTGCAGCAGCCGTAAGACCTGAAAAGAAGCCATGTCTACAGAAGTGGAAAGAAAAGGATGCTACCAAGGGGAGAAGAACAACTCCCAGGAAAGCCACCAGATGAGAGCCGAGACTAGGTCCACCACCAGCTGGGCGCTCCAGAGACAGACGGCTGTGTTGGATGCCACCCCTACCTTCCCAGCACAAGAGAGGGGTCCCTCCCTCCCTGTGTGGCATCTCCATGTGGCCATCAGGAATTTCAAGAAGTGGTGTAGTTAGTTCCGCTAGCCCCATCACTGTGTCCTGACCACTCTCAGACCCAGCCCTTAGTTAGGATCCTCTGGGACTGGCACTCCCTTTGGCAGGTAAAAGGGAGTGGCTTCCCAGTCACAGATACTGGGAGGCCTGCAAGAATGAAACAGTGCCTCACAAGGGTGCAGCTTTCAGACTGTTTCTGCAAAAGCATGTCAAAGCCATGTGGCTCTGCCCCACTGTGTCTCCCCAATCGTGCCTGGAAGTAAAGGTTGGAGGATACGGGCTGGCAGGCAATGGCCAGCTCTCTCTCTTTCACTCTAGTATCAGCCTCAGACACCCCCAGCGAGTGCCACTACTCCCCCACTGTTTTCATTCTCAGCTTCTCCTAAATGGAAACCATTAATCATACTAAATTGTGCAATGATTCCATGATAGGGAGAATGCTGATGGCAAAAATCATTCTCCTTTGTTGTGCCAGGCAGGCAAAAGGCAGAAGTATTAGCTCGTCGCCCTGCCTGGCTCCTTGCAAATGCTGACCATGTGTTTGCCTACGCAGCTGCCTCTATGCACACAGCTTATTTTAGCACTGGTCTAAGGCATTCCAACTGTTGACAGAAAACAAGGCCACTTCTTCCTTAGTTCCAGGACTGCCAGGAAGACTGTAACTGCTGGTGCTCCCTGAAGTCTCTCCCATCTCAAGGTCCCCATATCGGAGGTAGGGATGGTACAGGACTCACGGGGAAAACTCAAGATGGTCTCAGATGGGGTGAGCTGGTGGGGTAAGCCGTGCCCCCTATGCAGTTCTGCCAGCTGGATTGCAGAAGCAGCCAGGTGTGGGTACCAAGGAGGCTTTTTGCCTTTCAGAATTTGATGTCTGCTTTGCTTTCGACAAGCCTCTTTGTAAGCCACCCCTTCTGAATTAGAATCGTTTTCCAAAAGCTCTTAAGCTATGATTAATGCCAGGGCTGTTTTTAACAATCATCCTGCCAGTCTTAAGCTGTAGTCATTTTCAATAATTTGGAGCGCTCAAAGGCAAGCCAGGAGTTTGTTGACAACAAAACCCGTAAGAGCACAGCCAGGCAGCCACAAAAGATGGGAAAGCAAAGGGACCATTTGGGCTTAGCTGGCTTTCTGCTCCCAGAGTTTCACCACTAAAAGTTTGATTGAACACTCACAATGCATTAAGGATCCAACTGTGAACATGGCTTGGCGAGAGGGCTGCCAGGCTGGCTTTTGTGTGAACAAGCAAGCCGCGTGTTTGGAGGGCTCCGGGTTTATTTACGGACACGTGTGGTTCATTCATGCCGTCCCCATACCGGAGTGTCCTCGTTTGTCTTCCCTCTGCCAACATGGAAAGAAATCCAGTTGCTTTGCTCTGGGGCTGTTTACTTCCTGTGAATGCTGAGCAAGTCTCTGGCCAAGACACGGGAATCCTGCTCCGTAGATGGCCCCGGCTATTTCCCCAGCCTTGTGTGTTAAACTAGCGTTCTCTTTTTAATCTTGGCAATTTCATGCTAGAGTATCCATCTGTTTGAAAAGCCCAAACTGAAGGAAGCTACCATTTGAAATGTCCGTGATTGCAGATTTAGTTAGACTCAGCTTCAGATAAGCACTTATTTCTAGCTCATTACTTCCTCCAGTAGGAAAGGGTCAGCTCTGGGTGATGGGAGTTTCACCCAATGAATTTGGTGTGATGGATAGATATTTGTGTCTCCATTCGACTCTGCCACCGCACCAAGTATTATGTAGGGTGTGTTGCCAGCCAGGGAGAACACAGATGCCTGAGTATAGCTGGGAGCTTTTATTAGCTAACTTCCAATAAACTCCCTTCAACCAAGAATCACAGCAGAGCCTCCACCCTGCACTCCACATGGCCTTAGCGGTATCTATTCATGTCCCCTCTCTGTCTCTACGCTTCACGCCCTTTTCTTCTGAGGCAGAATGAACAGATTTCTAGTGTTGGGCCCCTAGAGCTGTGTTTCTGTCTTGGATAGAGGGACCCCAAAGGAAAATCGTAACCTATCAGGACTCTGTTTCCCTACACCCCTTAAGTGTTTGCTGGGTTTTCCTGGCAACTTTTCAGGGGAATCTTTGGGACATCATCCCCCTTAGCATGGCACCTGCTCTAGGATCCTGAGGGTTGGAGAAATGAAAACCTTCCTCCAAACCTACTTCTTCCTTTATATTCCATCTCAGTTTAATCAGTCTACCAAACTAGAAACCTGGGTTTCTCCACTGGTTTCCAATTCCTGCCCATTGCCCCAAAATACTTCTCAAACTTGACTCAAATGCATCATTTCCACGTCACTCACCTGGTCCAGGCCCTTTACCTTCATTTGAATGAGGGAATGTGGCAGCCTCTGGGCTGGCTTCCCTTCCTCCTCCCCCAGTCCCTTCACCATCCCTCCCTTGCTGGGGAACCACTCTTGGTTCACCTTTGACTGCAGACTAAATCCAAATCCTCACAATCTGCCTTCAATTCGGTTCGGCCTTTCAGTGTTACCCTGAGATCCTCCACTACCCATGGCCCCTGGCCCCTATCCTATCCCACCTCTGTGCCTTTGAACATTCAGGGGGTGTCCTCCTCCTTTTGAGAATGCCTCCACATCCTTCAGGTTGCTTCGCTGTGCTTTTTCAATTCCTCATGCTTACCTCAATTTGTGTCCTTATCACATATCTGAACTGTTTGTTTACCTTTCTGTCTCCCTCAATAAAAACAGTAAATTCCTTGAGAGTAGAGACTGTATCTGATCCAGCTCCATATCTCTGAAGCCAAGTGCAGTATCTGGCCCTGTGCTCAATAAATTATTGAATAATAAGAGATTTTTTTTTTCATCCCTGGTTGGATGGGTCTTTCAAGTGTCTGTCTCTTTCTTAGAAATATCTTGGTAAGGCCTGGGTTTCCTTTTTCTTTCTAACCAGCAATTCTAAAGTTTTGAGAACTTCCTCTGTATGCTTTGTTAAATTTTTGTTTGGGTTTGGTTTTTTAAATTTTGTTTCTTGCTCTGTCATCGTGGGTATCATTTTCCCCCCGTGTCTCCCTTCTCCTATCTCTCTAAGCCGTTTTCTCCATTAAGGTCAGAAAGCACAGTGCCTGTGCCCTAGAAACATTTCAAGAGCCTGATGAACATACTTGAGACCTGGAAAGAAAAAAAAAAATTATATATATATATATGAGCTCTAATATCCAGGGAAAGCCAGGAAACTATAAAATCAGATGTATTAAATGTTTAATTAAATATCTACTAAACCATAATAATGTCACCAGCAGACTTCAGCCTAACTGAACTGGTAAATAATCAGAAACTGTACTCAATGTGGGACCCTAATGTATGTAGCATAGGGTGGAATGGAGTCTTCATAAGAAGAGGTTCTAGGGACTGCACAGGTTTCCAAACAGTCTATCCTCTGTCTTCCTTCTTTTCTTTTCCTCTTTCTCTCCCTCTCTTTCTCGCTCTCTCTGCTCTGAGTCTTGCACTCCAACTCTGAGCACGAGAACAAGTTCTGGAGGGAGCCAGCCCAGAGAAGAACCAGACCTGCCAGGTGGGCGGAGCAAACTGTCGCATGAACCATCAACCCCTCAACCATCAACCCCAGAATCTGACATACACACCTGGGGGCTCTGGATGGAGAGCTGAGCTGCCCAACTATGCAGAGTGAACTTTTAGGTTTCCTTAGTGACTGATTCTCCTGGGTCCAGCAACGGCAATCTGTAAGGTCTCTGACCTGCACATCCAGCTTCCGATCTGTACAGCAAATTGTCAGTGTGAACACCCTGGGCTGTGTAGGGCAGGTGACCTCTCTGCCCGCTGCTGTTTTCTGGCTTTGGGGTTTTGTTTTGGTGTGTGTGGGAGGTGGGCAGGCTGGTGGTGATGAGCTCTGACTCCAGGAACCAGTATTCATGAGTAGTGTTTCCAGCTGTGCCTCTGATTCAGCCGTGACCTTGGGCAAATCGCTTCCTCCCTGGGCCCTGCTCTCCAGCTGTACAGAGCCTCAATCCCAAAGTTATTTGTAAAGTACTTTGACAGCTCAGATCCTAGGCACGGTAAAGAGCAAGAACACTGCTGTTGTTATAGTGCATTTAAAACCCTAAGGAAAATATGCGTTGCTCCCTCTTGAGTTGAAAATTAAAAAGCTGTAATAAGTGAAGACTAATTCCATTGTTGCTTTATGATGTCGCCATCCTGGAATCATCCAATTTTTGCCCTTTTTCTTTATAAAAAATAAATAAAGACTCTTTGGTGAAGAATGGCTTTCATTTAGTAAATAATTTTGACATGTGTAATTACTTCTGTGACTTTTCTTAACAACCTCGCTTGGCTGAAAAAAAGAAAACAAAAACGCACCCCCACTGCAGCCTTCCATCCCTGGTGCTCCATAAAGTAATTGTGCAATTAGGAAGAAGTGGCTGCAGCATCGCGTTTCTCTATATTTTAAGTTAGGAGTCTGACTTTGACTCCCTGCTTGCTGGAGTGGGTGAGCCAGCCCGTTATTAAAAAAACAATTATGCTGTTAAAAAATCAGGAGCTCCACAAGTGAAGAGCATCGATTGGCAAGAGCTGGTCAGTTATCACCAGAAGGTCCTGACAACACACTAATAGGTTTTTCTGAAGATCCAATCAAATTTTCTAGGCAGAGGCTTGAGGTGTTCCACATGGGATAATGCTTGTCCTGGGCAGTATTGATTTCAGCGTGTGGCTCTCTCGTCTCTCCCCTCTTACTGGCTCCCGCTCTTCTCCTGCTACTTTTTCTTTTTTCGGTAATAAAGACTTAAGCTTTGTATTCCATGTTAACAGTCTGATGGGGGAAGGTAGAGCCTCCCAAGCCTCATCTGTCCTTGACTTGGTGCCTCTCTGCACCATCTCCTTTGTTACTGTATCCCTGGAGTCAGATAGATACAGCGTCACCTGCTCTGCTTCTCCCTGACCTTGTGGATTTCATTCTAGTCGCTGCTTCCAGCCCCGCCACAAACCCTCTTAGAAGAAATTCTGTTAAAAAGCCTGCTGGGAAGGAGGAAATGAAATGGCTTGAAGTCACAGAGGTTTCTGGTATCCCCCACCCCACAAGTAAAGAATTCCCTGGGGCAAGGAGAAGGTGTTGGTTTATGCACACGTGTGTGTGTGTGTGTGTGTGTGTGTGGTGCTGTGCATGCACACACGGTGGTAGGGACTCAAGCCTACAAGATGCAGTGGTACAGATTTAGGCATTGACCAGGCTATAAGATAAAAGGGTATGTCTGGATGGATGGGGACAGCGATCCAGCCCACCCTCTAGCCAAGCTTTGTGTCCTGACATGGAGTTGCAACTTCTTTTTTTATTATTTTTTTGAGACAGAGTTTTGCTCTTGCTGCCCAGGCTGGAGTGCAGTGGCAAGATCTCAGCTCACTGAAACCTCCGCCTCCTAGGTTCAAGTGATTCTCCTGCCTCAACTTCCCTAGTAGCTGGGATTCCAGGTGCCCATTACCATGCCCGGCTAATTTTTTTTCTATTTTTAGTAGAGACAGGGTTTCACCATTTGGGCAGGCTGGTCTTGACCTCCTGACCTCAGGTGATCCACCCGCCTCGGCCTCCCAAAGTGCTGGGATTACAGTAGTGAGCCACCGTGCCCGGCCAGAGTTGCAACTTCTTGGAGGAAGGGATATCTTTTTTTATAATTCACACAAAGATGTCTGGACCATTAATGGCCTGGAGAGACGTGGCAGAGACTCAGAGCCTCCAGATCTAGAGTAACTCTGCTACTGTGCACTGACGTATCCCCGCAAACATCCCTGGATGAGACGAACGTGTTAGCGATGTCTTTGGTTGATGCAAAGTAGTTGAGGTTTTTGCCACTGCTTTTTCTTGAATGACAAAAACCACAACGACTTTTGAACCAACCTTAATAAAACACTCCTGTGCCCATCCCATGAGTGTTAATATTTTCATTGTACTCAGGGACCCCAGGGCTGCTTTTCAGATCTATCAAGTTGATTTTCACGTCGCTCACCCAACCTCTCTGCCACCTCATTTCACCCAAGGCTCTCCACATGGCCTAGGTGGAATTCACCTGCCACGTCTTTGCTGGTACCTTCCATCTCCCTTGCTTCACCTTCTGCACCATTTGCAGAGCAAGGGCTCTGTTATCAGCAGGCTGGGGTTCAAATCTCAATGTCTTTACTTAATAAAAGTTGACTTTGGGCAAGTCTTTGGGTCTGTTTCTTCCTCTTCAAAATGTCCACCTCACGCCATGCTGTGGGGCTCACGTGGGTTAAAATACTATGCTATACACAAATGTTAGTTATAGGTTCTCAAATTCCTAGGTTCCAGGAACCTGGGAGCTCCCTGAATCCCAAAGGTCACTTCTCACCAGATTCACACCGATTAGCACTTGGTTATATCCTGACACGCTTTTCTATCATGGTTTCAAGTGTGTGTTTTGTCTCCACAACCAACCAGGCTGTTGGTGCCTGGAGTAGCAGCGTCATGTCTTACACTTCTCTTGGGTTCCCCACAGCCCTCCAGGAGACTGAGCACACAGTGGCTACTCGATAACTCCTTGACTTCCCTGGGTATTTACTGCTACACAATTTTTAGTCTATAGCACTTCCCACCTAGGAAGAGACTTAAATGGAATCTGCAGCTTTGGTTTAGCTCATCCAATCACAGAACACAGAGTGTCAGATCTGCAGAGCACCCCAGAGCTCATCCTGTCCAACCCCTTCATTTTACAGACTTCTACTGCAGGCGGCCTCACAGAGAAGGACCAAACGCCAGCCACCCGAGAGGTTATGTTCCTGACCCCCACGCTCCTCCAGGCATGACACCAGAATGAAGTTAACAGAGGAAGCGCTCCTCACCCTCTCCAGACAGCACACTGTAGGGAAGCCATTCTCAAAACAAAGGTACTGGACCTGCCACCTGGTGTCACCTGAGAGTGCATTAGAAATGTAGATTCTCAGGCCCCCTCACCACCTCCTCTGCTTCTATTGAATGAAAACTAGGGTGAGGCCCAGCTGTCTACACTTCCTCTGGTCCTCTAGATGATTCTGATGCCTGCTCTACTATAAGAGCCGCTGACTGCTCTAGGGGAAGAGCTCTGGACTTCAGCCAGCAGATCTGCATCCGGGTCTAGGCTTCACTCCCAGTGTCAGTGTCTTCATTTGCAACGCAGGAAACACAGGCTCACCTCACTGAGCTTTTGTGTGCCTTAGCTGGAATCACACACTTGGCACACAGTAGGCACTTAAGAAACGATAGCTGCTTTTGAATTGCCACTTGTCTTGGGTGAGTGGAGGAATGGCTGATTGCAAGGCTGATTGGAGGACATGCCACTTTCATCACCTTCATCAGGAAAAACAAATCTATTAAGTGGCTAAATGCATGATATTCTGTTCTCTACATGGGGAGAGAAAAAGCGTTTAAATCAGGAGCGACAAGAAGACAGAGTGCAAAGCCCAAAGATTTTGCAAACAGGAGGATTGGGTCCAAAGCCCAGTCCCATCACCATGTGCTGGCTACGTAATCTTGATAGACTTACACTGACACGCTCATTCATTCAGCTGATATTTTGGAGCTCCCACTATGTACCACACAACATGCTAGGCACGGAGAACACACAGGGAACACGTTGGTTAAGATCCTATGCAGATCAAATAATCCACCTGCTCCTCTTGTAGGTCCCAACCCTCTTGCAGTTGGGCAGAGTGTATGTGCCCCCGTTCTGTACTGTGCCTGCTTTTGACCTATGCACACATGATTCTCCAATGTTTCTCTTGCCTTGCTGCAGCCACCGAAAAGGCCAGTGTTCCACATGGTGCAGCCAAAAAGGTGCTGAGGCCTCCACTGTCCTAGATCTCTGGGTGACAAGGTGGAGCAGAGCCTTTGCTCAATCCCACGAGACATGTTACATAAAGGAGAAACATAAGGGTTGGGATTTATGTTTCCACTGCCGAGCCCAGTCTCTCCTGACTGACACAGACGCTGTCCCGATGGGGCTTGCAGTCTAGTAAGACAAACAACACACACAGTTGAGCACTTCATGACGGTCATAAGAGGTGCTATGAAGAAGACACAGGTTACTGGGAAAGCATATATAGGAGTGGAGCCTCATCTAGTATTGGAGGTGGGGATGGGGGTGATGGGGGTTGGCAGTTCGAGGAAGACTTCTCTGGAGAAGTGTTGAGACCTGAGGGATGAATACGAATTGTCCAGGCAAAAAAAGGAAGGAGAAGTCAGGTTCAAGCAGAAGAAACAGCCTGTGTGAAGGCCCGGAAGTGGGAGGGTGTAGGAAGCTGATGAATAGGCCGATCAGACGACGAGGGTGAACAAGAGGGTGGGCTGCAATCAGAGTATGGAGGATTTTATGGGCTAGGTTAAAGATTGGGGATTTTATCCTAAAACAAATGGCAAGCTGTAAATTTTACACAAGGCAGTAGCAGGAAGTCTGCTTTTCAAAAAGCTTTGAGCCTTACCTTCCTCATCTGCACAGTGGGCATAATAATATATATGCTTAAAAAAACTGTGAGAATGGGATAAAATAACCTCTGCTAAACATGGTGCTGAGCACACTGTTAACAGTGAAAATGATCCAGCCCTTTCTCTTTGTCTGGTTTCCTCCGGCTTAGGGCTCGCATCTAGCACAAGTTCTCTGTCACATTCTCTTCTGGGATTGCTGCAACCTACAGGAAGAAAGCCAAAATACCTTTGCAGTAAAATAATGACAAACCTCTACTGAGCATTTATGGTATGCCAGGTACTGTTCTAAGTATTAACTCATCACAGCCCTATGGGACAGATACTATTACTACCCACTTTACAGATGGGGAAACCCAAGCACAAAGTGGCTAAACTTTTTGCTCAGGACCACACGACTAGTAAATAGCAGGGAGGGATTTAAACCCAGACACTCTGAGTTCAAGGTCTTCCCTCTTAATCACTGTCTTTCATTGCCTCTTGGAAAGAAATGAGATTTTAGGGAAACAAAGTGGTCAGAGAGAGCTGCTCTGGTCAGACCCAAGGAATAAGAGGAAGAGATAGACCCAACCACTGAGGCTGAGCAGAGCACCTGTAAGAAGCAGGCTTCACCCTCCATGCTTTCAGACCATCTGCCCATGAGAGGCAGAGGCAGGACCTCACAGCCAACCCTGGGCATCACCCAGTTCCCAGCCTCCCTGAGCCAGGGAGTGAGGCCTGTTCTCTAAGTCACCTCTGTTGGCTTCCAAGTCCCTCCTAGAGATGGACCCTTCAGGCACAGCTCAAGGCACACTTCCCTGGTCCCTGCTTGGGAAGCCCCTGGGGGCTGCAGTAAGGCCTTAGTGTGGGCAGAGAGGATGCCATCGAGGCTGGTGTGTGTCCATGGCATCGATCCTGGGGCATATGGTGTCAGGAGAGCCCCAGGGGAAGGCCAGCCTCACAGGGCTCTGAGGGAAACATGCAGGATGGCCGCCCTGCCCTGTCACTCTCTGCAGTCAACCAGAAAGTCAGAAAACGTGCCCAGCAACCAGTGAAGCAGATGGCTGAGAATATCATGTGTATACAATATTTATGAAATGTGAGCTGAGCAGAGCTGTGGCTGAGACTCCCGTCCCAGGCAGAGTAATTCAGCCCTGTGTGATGAACAAGATTGTAATTGGGGTAGTTCCAATTTACTAACCATTTGCAAAAGATTACATACCTCTCACATATTATCCTCTCCTAATCTTACTTTAATGAACACTACTCTATCTGGATGTATAATTTCAGGGCGGGGGAAAAAACAATTTCTAGCCTAGAAGGCAAAGCTGTAGCTAATACATTAACATCCAAATTAGAGAGAGGGAAAGTAATTGTGAGATCTATAGCTAAAGTAATCTAAAGGCGCCCCCTCCTCCTCCACGCAGCAAAAGACAGAGGTACAGTGGAAGCAGTTCTTGTTACAACCGATGACTTTCCAGTGAGGGGTGAGGACCCTCCCGCCAAGATGGCAGCCTCACCTGGAAACGTTCACTTCACTTCCAGAAGGGACTCCAGATGAGTGTGTTTCTCAGCTGGACTTCACTGGCGGAAATAAGCCATGCTTGTATTAGGAAGGAAGAGAGTCAGACTGGTAGAAGAACTTCCAGGGAGTAACGGTTGTTGGTTAGCACAGCTTCCCCAAAAGCTAGGAGGGATACTGAGGGGTGAGTTCATGAACCCATCTTTATCTCAGTTTCATCATTTGTAAAACGACGCTGCCCCCTGATTCATACCTTCATTTGGTGGATTATTTTTACTGAAACCTGCTTTGTGCCCAGCACTCTTCTAAGTGGTAGGGAGACAGAGGGTTTAAAAAGAAGAAGTTCTTGCTCTCAGGAAGCTTACATTTTCATCGGGAAAGAAAAACAAATAAATAGGGTTAGGGTAGGGTGCCTGCATCTGGGGCATGCGTGACAGGCTCGTGCCTCTTCAAAACCAAGGGTGGCTCAACTGATTTCCCGGGCAGCAGACCTGGGGAGTCCCTGGAACTGCTTTGCTGCCTCAGTCCTGAAGTGGAGTGCCCAGCACTAGCCATCCCCACTCTTCCACTGGTTCTCCCTGTGAGTCATGAGCTACAAATGAAGCTTCCAGAAGGCAAATGCTGCCCAGCTCCCATCCACAATGAGAGTTGCAGATGGCAGAGAACCAGTGCCCAAGGCTCTCCTGCCCAGAGTGTTGTCTCTGGCTGATGCAGGTCAGCAGCCCTTCCTCCCCTGTACCTTGTGAACTCCAGGAGGAGAGATCAGAGAATGCAGCCAATGAAAGGCAACACGCAATCCTAGAAGCATCCCTCCAGAACTCCTTCCTGACTTCCATCTGCAGTGTAGAGCAGGACACAGGGGAGAGATGCTCAGCTGTGCTGACCATTCCCTAGAACTTACCAAGTCCCCATCAGGGTGGATGCACCAGGAAAAATAGCCAAAGCCCTTGCATCAGGGGCCAGAACATCGGCCACGTTAGAAGCACATACTGTGTGCCAGGAGAGGACTGCCCCCACCTGAACTTCACTGGCCATACCTTGTGGTCTGGGTCAGAGCTTCCCAGGACAGAGGCACAGAGGATTTGTGGGCCCCACATATAATCTGTGACACTCTTCCATGTCCTAATCTCCTATCTCAGGAATGGCAAGGAAGGGTTATGGCCAGAGTCCTGGGCCAGATCTCTTGGGGGCCCTCCCCAAACACCCCATCTTGGCTTCCCTCACCAGTCCTTCTTCCACTCTCACTTATTGGCCTCTCAGAATTGTTCGCTAGGGTGAGGGAGACTGATTGAATCGAGGAGCTCTGTTCTGATCTTGTCAATCAGACCTGCCCACCTGCCTGTGCACACACAAGCCTGCTTTCTCCCACACTCTGGCCCTTTGCTTGCTCTCTGGCCTTCACACTTTCTCTTAAATAAACACATACAGACACTCGGGCAGTAAGGCACAGTCTGTCCTGCTTGCCTGGAATCCCAGGAAACTCACAGCTATTTAAGCCCATATTGGAAGGAAGGGAACTCAAGGCTGGAGGCTTGGAGCTGCAGCGCCTCTCTACCCTCTGCCACCTCAGGGAGCCAAGGGCATCCAATTGCTAGTCCCTCAGGGACACTCAGAGAGAGTTTGGACTTGGTGAAAATATTCAAATGCCTTTGTATTAATAAGTGCTATAGAGTAAATATTTGCCACCTCACTCCAATTTATCACTGAAGTCCTAATCCCCAATGTGATGGTATTGGAGGTGGAGCCTTTCGTCACTAATTGAGCTTGGATGGGGTCACGAGAATGGGGGACCCGTGATGAGACGGTACCCTTATAAAGGGAAAAGGGGATCACAGCTCATTCTCTCTGGCCTGTGAGGATATAGCAAGAAAGAAGCAGTGTCTAAGCCAGGCCCTCACCAACAACAAAATCTGCCATTGTCTTGCTCTTGGACTTCCCAGCCTCTAGAACTGTCAGAAATCAATGTCTGTTGTTTAAGCCAGCCAGTCTATGGCATCTGTTAAAGCAGCCCAAACCGACTGAGACAATAAGCAACAGAGCTGGGCTGGACCCCCTTCTAGACACCAGACTCTGCCTGGTAGTTTGTCAGGCTCCCCAAGCAACCCCATCCCTTAATAGCTGGCCCTGGTTTCTGCTGTTGCAGGTGTGTGTGTGCTGCTGGTCAGCAAATGAAGGGGGAGAGGGGAGGAGCAGAATCTAAGCTAAATAAACAAAATAAATGAAGGAAGGAAGGAGAGAAGGAGGGGAAGACAGGAGGGAGGGAGAGAGGGAGGGAGGAAGGGTGGCCAACTCAACACAGTGCACCCTAAGCAACTACACAAGTGACAGAATGTGGGGCCTCACTGCTGTCTTCTCAGAGGTGAGTGCTGATGTGGGATGACCAGCCATCCCAGTTTGCTAGGAATAAGGAGGCTCCTGAAACTGGAGACTTTCACTGCTATAATCTGGGCTGCGCCCAGTTGGTGGCTTTGGAGGACTCAGTTCCATCTTCCCGCAGCCTGCGCCTGAGAGTAAGGCTGTGTTCTAACAGCCCAGAAGGAGCCCAGGGATGAGATTCTGATAACGGATTATATCACCAAGAAGAAAAAAAAACCTTTTCTTTGTTTCTCCTCCTCCTGTGTTTACACGGCTTCTTCCTTTATCTTTTCATAGTGCTCGTTTTAGTAGTGGTAGTGGGAAGTAATAATCATAACAGTTAACACGGAGAGAGTGCATTTTATGTTGCAAGCCCAGATCCAAACACTCGAGGGGCCCTGGCTCCTTTAACCTTCCTAATTACCTTTGACGTAGGTATTGTTATTGCTGCCATTTACAGATGAGAAAATTGAGGATAAAAAAGTTCCCTGTGCCCAAGGATGCCAAGCCCACAGTTTGTGGATGCCACTTGCCCTGTGCAGCCGTGCCTCTGGGCCTTTAGCCTGGGGTTCCCAGTCAGCACCCAGGAGCATCTCAGCCTCCTATTTCTACTGGGACAGTTGGTTTGGAAAAGCAGTGGCAGTTGGGCTCCTTTCTCTGAAAGCCACATGACCAGGAGGGTTTCTCTCGTATCAGGGGCCGAGTGGCCAGGGTGTGGGCCTGGGTCCTTGCAGCCATTGAGGTATTCAAGCTCCCAGGGCTGTGAGTGACGCTCTGAGGCCACCCACTCCCTGTCCTTGGAGGGCTGGCACGCCCTGCCACTCTCTCCCAGGACTTAATGGCCTGCGCCATCATGCCGTCAGGAAGCACGTGGCCTTCTGTCAGTGACTCTCCAAGCCTGAAAAAGGAGCAAAAAGAATATTTGATCACAGGTGGCCGCTGTCAGCACTGCAGTCTCTGAATTCCTGAGGGCCAGGTGCTTCCTGCCTGCTAGGAGTCTTGTGAGGCCCCTCTTCATGTCCATAGCCCCAGCCTGGGGCTCTGCAGCCACCTCTGCAAAGGAGGACGTGAACCACGGCTCTGGGTGTCACCCCTGTGAGGCTGTGAAGAAACGCCCCCAGAGGCAACACTCCCTCACCTCCCCGTCTGCCTCTTCCCGGTGAGAGAGGGGGCGTTCCTCGGACAGAGTGTGCCTTTTGAAACCAGCCACACTCCCGTGTGCGTTCAACTCTCACGTGAGGCTCCTGGTGACCTTCTTCTGTGTCCTCATTTTCAGGCTACAACCTGCTAGGTCTGAATCAGGGGTTAAGCGGAGCATGGCGCCGACGGCCTGGACGCGAGTCGGGCCCACAGACGGGACTTGATCGATAGTAGAGGGAATTAAATCCGGTCAGGAAGCTCGGGGCGTGGTGGGATGCATCCACCCTCCGAGGACGCCCACGCACGGTCCATCTCAGACTCATGCATTGCTGTGATTCTTCAAAGTTCTAGAGAAAAAGAGGTTTTGAAACCTCCTGTTGTATCCAATTTCATGTTTTAACAACTCCCCTCTGTGATAATTCCTTTTTTTAGGTCGAATCTGAGTCCCTCAAGCTGAAACTCCAGTTAATATTCTTTTGTCTCCTTTTCAGAAGAGATTGAGAAGCACCTGGTCCCCTTCTGCTATTTCTTCAGAAGCGTAAGGACTTTAACCTTCTCCTCTCCAGGCTGTGGAGCAGAGAGGACGATGGTGCTCACCTGGTCCTTGTCCCCCTTCTGAGGTGCAGAGGGGCCCTGCCTGGCCCAGCCGTAGGAAGGGGAGTCTCCCTCCGGGACAGGGACCAGGACCCAGGTTCTCAGATTCCCTGAATCTGGCTCCCATAACCCCATCTCCTGTACCCAGACGTTCTGGGCCACAGCCTTCTCTGTTAGCTATTCTGAAATTCTTTGTTCTTTTTCTTGAATTAGAAGAAGGGTGAGGTTGAAATAAAACTTTAGACGTGCCTCCTGAACTGGGCCATCTCCCCCGGGTTCAGGGCTGAGGCACCAGAGCCCGGGGGCGCAATTCCGCGGGACCGGAGCTCGGACGGCCGGCCTCGCCTGTGCCCCTGCCAGCGCACGCCCCGGGCCTCTCCCGCTCCTCCTCCGCAGGCGCCCGCGGCGCTTCCCAGCCACTTGCAGTCCCATAATCAGCACCATTATCTCCGGGTAATTTTCCCTCCTCTCCGCAATGCGGCCTGTGAAAGGAACCCGAGGAAGGACCGTGTTTCTGGGACTCCGAGGACGGGGATGTGGTCTTGATTGCAAATGGGAAATTAAGCCTGCGTGTCTGGCGATCAAGCCGGCGTGATTGCGTCCCAGCCCGCCCCGGCTGCCTGAAGGGTAGCAACAATGATCCGTCCACCTTTTCTCCGGCTCGCCTCTGGTTTAGCAAATCTATAATGCATTTAATCTCCGAAAGCCACCGCGCTTGGCTTTAGTTGCCTAATTTGCTGTCGAGAGCTCCTGCAATTCTCTCCCCGACGACGACGTTTAACTCGAGGCTTTTGTTTGTCCAATCAGCCGGGCTCCCCTTGCGGAGGAGCGGGTGGGAGAGAACAGCCCAAGGGGGCGATCACAGACTGAGTCCCCCGGCGCACCCCTCGCCCCCAGCAGGCTGCGTCAGGAGCCCGGGCACCCCCCACCGCGCCCCTCCCACCGACCTGGATTCTGTCGCCTCTTCGTCCAACCTGAAATCCTGCCTCCATGTGCCAGGCATTGTGCCTGCCACTGCAAAGACGAGGGGAACAAGTTCCTTCCTTAAGGAACTGGCAGGCTGCTTGCGGGACAAACCCATACACGAATAATTACCATACAATGAAATAAACGTCTTAATAGAGGTGTGTATAAAATGCCAGAGACAACAGAGAAGGAAGTGACTCATCTTCTCTTGGGAGGATGATGAAAGCTTTATAGAGAAGGCGCAATTTCTGCAGCCTTGCAGGGTAAGCAGAAGTTCATTAGGTGGGGTGGTGGAGGAGGCACCCCGGCTGGGAACAGCCTGTGCCAAGAAAGGGACCCTTTGGGAAATGGGGAGGAGTGGGTGTTGGGGAAGCCCAGCCTGTTGGGAAGAGGGTACTGGGCTGGAGTGGCGGGAACTGAAGAGGAAAGTAGGGCCTCAAACGCCAGGCATCACATCCTGTTCTGTGCCAATGAGGACATACTGGAAGTTTCCAGGCAAGAATATACATGCAAAGATAGAGATAGAGATGTGGAAATACGGATGAATCGGATGGTTATACACACACACACACACACACACATATATATGCTCACACAGGCACATATAGAAGGGAAGAGCATATATTGCCAGGTGCAATGACACACAGCTGTAATCCCAGCACTACAGGAAGCTGAGGTGGGTTGATTGCTTGAGCTCAGGAGTTCAAGACCAGCCTGAGTAACATGGCAAAACTCCGTCTCTACAAAAAATTACAAAAATTAGGTGGGTGTGGTGGCAGGAGCCTGTTGTCTCAGCTACTTGGGAGGCTGAGGCAGGAGGATTGGCTTGAGCCCAGGAGGCAGAGGTTGCAGTGAGCTGTGATCACACCACTGCGTGCCAGACTGGTAACAGAATAAGACCCTATCTCAAAAAAAAAAAAAAAATATATATATATATATATATATATATGTGTGTGTGTGGTTTTTTTTTTAAGAGTCAGGGCTTTGATTGCCCAGGCTGGAGTGCAGCAGTGCAATCATAGCTCACTGGAGCCTCAAACTTGTGGGCTCAAGCCATCCTCTCATATCAGTTTCTTGAGTAGCTGGGACTACAGGCAAGTAATAACATGCCTGGCTAATTTTTTAACTTTTGTAGAGATAGGGTCATGCCATGTTGCCCAGGCTAATCAATCAATCCTGGCCTCAATCAGTCCTCCTGCCTTGGCCTCCCAAAGTGCTGAGATTATAGGGCATGAGCCACCACATCCAGCATGTATTGCTTTTGTTTTATGTATTATATTTATTTTACATATAAATTTATTTTTTATATTTATCTATTCAGCCTGTCATAAGAAAGTACTGCAGATCGGGTGGCTTAAACAACAGAACTGTATTTTCTCATGCTTCTGGAGACCGTAAGTTGAAGACTAAGGTATGATTGGGGTTGACTTCCTCCATGTCCTTTCTCCTTGGCTTGTAGATGGCTTCCCAATGCGCCCTCACACCGTTTTCCCTCTGTATGCATATATTCATCCAAATTTCCTCTTCTTATAAGGATGCCAGTCATATTGGGTTGAGGCCCACCCTAATGACCTCATTTTACCTCTTTAAAGCACAATCTTCACATGCAGCCACATTGTGAAGTACTAGGGGTAGAACATCACCATATAGATTTTCGGAGGGTTACAATTCAACCCACAACATATACGAATTTACATTCATTTATAAATGTATTGATTGATTTCCCATTTCCTTCCAGAGCATTCCATACATAGCCCTTGGCCTTAAGAAGCAGTGGCTTGGGCACTACTACAGATGCACTGGCTGTCGGGGGAGAGAGAGAAGAGCTGCTTCTCCACAGCCAACTCAGGGCTCCATACTCTGCAGCCAGGTTGTTACACCAGCCCCCAGAAGCAGCCTCTATTCTCAGATAAAGTCCACATGTCCACTCAGTTCAGAGGGGCGGGGATTTCCAGAAATGCTAAGGAGAGGGTGGTCTGCCCCTGAATGGAGATCTCACCTTGGAAGTCAATCACCTCCTACCAGGACGGAGGGCTGCGCTGAAGCCAGATAATTGGACTTTTACCCCCCCTTTTTTTTTTGAGATGGAGTCTTTCTCTGTCTCCCAGGCTGGAGTGCAATGGCGCAATCTCAGCTCACTGCAACCTCTGCCTCCCGGTTTCAAACTATTCTCCGCATCAGCCTCCTGAGTGGCTGGGATTACAGGCACCTGCTACCACGCCAAGCTAATTTTTATATTTTTGAGTAAAGATGGAGTTTTGCCATTTTGGCCAGACTGGTCTCAAACTCCTGACCTCAGGTGATCCACCTGCCTCCGCCTCACAAAGTGCTGGGATTACAATCCTGAGTCACCGTGCCCGGCTGACTTTTACTCTTTTAACTCTGCTTTAAAAAAATCAGTTAAGACTTTTCTGGTTGCAAGTGACAGATTACAGGATTCAAACAGGCTGAAATCAATGGAGGATTTTATTGGCATATATAACCAAACATTCCAGAGGGTAGATCTTGACTTTCAGGAATGGATGAGTGCAGGGGTTGGGGGTATGTGGCGTTTTCATCTGCCAGCCCTGCTCTCTTCTAAGTCAGCTGCTTTCTCAGGCAGTGCGTAGGTCATAGCAAGACGGCTGGCCCAGCTGTGAACCCGCAGCCTGCCAGAGCTAAGTCCAATGTCACCAAAAGACAGCATTGTTGTCAGCAGGCCTGTAGGTGTGTTTTTTTTATAAAGTCTCTGTATCTCCTTGGATCTGTCTAGATCACAGGAGCATGCCTGATGCCTCACTGTACTAGGGCCACAGGACACACACACCCTACCACCCCCACACCCCATAGGGCCCACAGCATTCAAAGCAGGGGGCAAGAATAATTCTCCAGAGAGAAACTAGAGTTCTCTTACCCCAAAAAAGGCTAAATGGCTGCTGGTTAGTAAAAGCAAAAGACACCCACCACACACTCCAGGAGAAGACTCTGTGAGACCAAAATATAGCAAGATGTCACCTATGACACTATCCTGGTTGTGTGTTTCAACAATAATCCTGGTTGAAAGATAGCATTGAATTTCATTACATTACAATCTTTCTGAGTCTTACCTAAAATGATTTTATTTCTGTGAAGTGGAATATTGTTTCAAAGAGAAAGATAGAAATGTTTTTCTTAAGTGGTTTAAAAAAAGAAAAAGTATATGTGGCAAGGTGTTTGAGAGAGTCCTGGGCTCTGACTCCTCACTCTGCCACCTGACAGGCATTTAATGCTGCTCAACCTCTCTGAGCTTGTATTCTGTTTACTAAGCAGGGTTAATAAAAAAGTACATTAAATGAGGTAGTGTGCACAAAGCACTTAACACACAGTGCAGGCTCAAGAAATATTCACTGCTGACTGGGTGCCGTGGCTCATGCCTGTAATCCCAGCACTTTGGGATGCCGAGGTCGGTGGATTACCTGAGGTTAGGAGTTCGAGACCAGCCTGGCCAACATGGCAAAACCCCATCTCTACTAAAAAATACAAAAATTAGCTGGAAGCAGTGGCAGGTGCCTGTAATCCCAGCAACTCGGGAGCCTGAGGCAGGAGAATTGCTTGAACCTGGGAGGCGGAGGTTTCAGTGAGCTGAGATTGTGCAACTGCACTCCGGCCTGGGAGACAGAGCAAGACTCCATCAAGAAAGAAAGAGAGAAAGAGAGAACGAGAGACAGCGAGGACGGAAGGAAGGAAGGACGGAAGGAAGGAAGGAAGGAAGGGAGGAAGGAAGGAAGGAAGGAAGGGGGAAGGGAGGGAGGGAGGGAGGAAGGGAAGGAAGGAAAGAAGAAGGAAGGAAGGAAAGAAGGAAGGAAGGAAGGAAATATTTACTACTATTTTTAAGAAGGAGGCTATTGAGAAATCACAGACTCACCGTATTGCACCTTTAAGGATGCTTGGTGTGGCCATGACATTTTTCAGTTGAGAAAACAGAAGCAAAAAGAGGTTAAGCAGCTACTCTAGTCACTCAGCTCACTAGTCATAAAAGTGGGCCGGAATCCAGGACCCCTAGTTCCCCAGTGCAGCCAGCCACACCGCGTTTTAACTAGTCTCCTACACCTGTCCAGGACAACGGGCCCATTCCTGGGACATGGAGAATCAGCAACCTGAGTCTCTTTGAGCATCTGCTTGGGAGGAGCATCTCTGCCTTTGCAGAGACTCTTGCATAGGGAGGGAAGGGCCCTGGTGTCTGTGTGTGTGTGTGTGTGTGTGTGTGTGTGTGTGCACGCACATCCACTTCCACGTATGTGTGCCCCCATAGTTTCAGGTCATAGATAGGCAAGTTGAGGACCCTGTTCAGGGTTACAGATCCTGAGAAACAGCAGATCCCCTCTGAGCAACACAAGAGCTGAATGGTCCTGTGACTCTTAGTTCCCTTGAAAGAGAGCATAAGATCTTACTGCGGTTACTTAAGAGATAAATGCCAAGCCCAACCCTTATAACCCAAGGCTCCCACAGCCTACAGAGAGCTGGTGCCCTGAGCCCTGCCCACCCAACGATATGCAGTTCTTTAAAAAAGACGTGACATTTAGAGTCAGGGATCAAGCCTGGGACCCCACCCTGCCTCATCTTGACCAATAGTGATCCCCAGGGGAAGTCTCCTGTCCTTTCTCAGCCTGTTTCCTCATCTGCGAGATGAAGATATGCAAGCTGCCATGAAGATGAAATGATGTTTCTAAACTTTGTTAACATAAAGCGCTGTGTGAGGCCATGGTATGATTAGATACTACAGATCAAGACCAGAGAGGCAACTAGGCCTGCTCTACAGAGAAGCTGCCTTAGGGTGGTGACCCGCTGGGGCTGACAAAGTGACAATGCAGGATGTCAGGGAGGCCAGGCTGCTCCACAGAGGTGGAAGGCAAGCTTGGGTCAGTGCCCAGCTCCACCCCTGTGGTCAGTTTCCTTCCCCTGCCCCACCTTACACACATGCTC